CATCCCCATCCCCATCCCCATCCCCATCCCCATCCGCAGCGCCGGTTCCCGGTTCCCGGTGCCCGCCGAGCTCCCTCGGGCTCGCCCGTCCGGTGAGCAGCAGGCTGAGCACGGCCTGCGGAAACAGCCCCGGGAAAAGCCCTTTGCGGGCGGTGCCCTGCTCCCAGCTCTGTCCCTCGCCAGCAGGAGATGCCAGGCTGACAGCGGCTTTTTTAAAATTATTGCTCCTATCATCTTCACCATCTCTTTTTTAAGTGCACAGACATGATTAATATTGCAAAATATTTTTTTCATTAAAAAGAAGTTCATTACTTATGCTTCTTTTTTCCTTCGGATTAATTAACAAGTGATAATTTTTTCCTAAATAAAAAATATTTATGTGGGAAAAATAAAACCAGAACGCTTGAGGCATGTGGCTGATCCTACCTCTGTACAGGTGATGTTTCCAGAAGTGACTCTCAGCAGAGGAGCTGTGCCACCCAAATCCTCTTGGACCCTGTGTGGCCAAGCACAGATCATCAGGGCAGCCCTGGGCCTGTGCCAGAGGCAGCACCGTACCTCCCTGCCTGACCTACAGAAATGGGAGAAAAGGAAAGGGCTTTTCAGAAGATCTAACCAAACTACAGGAAAATTTTTAAAAAGCGAAATATACCTTTCAAGTGTCCTAGAGAAAAGTAAACTGTACAAAAACAGGATCACTCCATGATCACCTTTGAACTGGAAAAAGAAATAAGGGGTCACAGGGGAGGAATTATGGCCAGTAAATCATATTTAATTAATTAACACAATTCCTCTGCTTCAATACAGCCTTAGGTGAGTGTGTTGAGTTAGATAAGGAAGGTGTTATTCCAGGAAAATGTTGTAACTAATTCTGTCAAATAGGATCAGGTAAAGAAAAGAAAGAAGGAACTTCCAGTTATTGGCTAAAAGTTTTTTGTACAGTTTTTTCCATACTTTTGCTGAGGCTGCAAGGAATCACATCTTTGAATGACGTACAAAATGCCCTGTTTACCCAGTGTTTGTGGGCTGAGAGAGCTGGAATAATGCATAAAGTCACAGGGATTTCCATGGGAGCAGGATAGGGATCCCACAGGAAAGGCTGGACATGATCCATGAACTAGCTGTACATCAACTGTGTGAACGTCCTGATGATGATGACATTTCTGTGTCCAAAATGCCCAATTTGAATGGGAAATAAGATGCAATTTAGCAAGAAAATAACAGGGAGGAAGCAGTTATCCCCACTTACACAGTCGATGTGATGAGAGATGAAGCCCTGAGCCGCAGCTTTCTCCGAGAACTCGAACAGCCGGGTCTGCTGGGCACGAGCACCGTGAGGGTGGTGGAAAGGAGACATGAATTATCCTGAAAAGCTGAGATTGTGCAGCCACAATCCTTGTGGTTCTGTTAGTCAAGTGAAAGAGCAATGCCAAGGTTTGCTCTGCCCCTTCCCCAGCCGGGGGCTCTGGCTCTGTGCTGGGTTTCAGGGGAGCAGCTTTGTGCTGACAGGATTCTCCTTTGTGCAGGAGAAGGAAGATGGGCTTTGGTGAAGGGGAGGGGATGTACCTGGGGCTGCACCAGGACCTGGCTGGTGGCTGTTTGTACTGCAGCACAAGGCACAGAGCAGGTGTTGGAGATTCTGTGTTTCAATATGTCTTTAAGGAAAATCCATACTCACTCTGTCTGTGAAGCTGCTGGCTCTGCAGCCCTCGCGTGGCACCACGGTGATAGGGGCAGTGACAAGGCACACGACGGCTCTGCCACCTCCTGCTGCTGCCCACAGGGTCTCTGCCAGGGCCGTGGCCAGTGCCTGCCCCTGCTGGTGCCGCCCGAGCCGGCACAGCCTGTGCCAGGGGACAGCAGGGGCTGGGACTGGGGGGACACGTGTCCCGAAATCAGAGGATTTGGTGGGAAGAAGCCTTGCCTGGGGGCCAGCCAAAGCTTCTCTCCCAGTGCCTATCCCCACCTGTATCTGCACGGCTGAGCTCAGAGGCTGGCACTGAGCAAACACTGCGTGGAAATAATTTTTATATGTGCCTTGAGGCCCAGCTCTTACCTTTCCAGGTGAGTACATTCTGTGTCTCTTGTGAAGAGCAGGTATGTGATGATGTGTGCTTGTACAGCTGCCAGAATGGCTCTTGTTCCTCCCTGGGAACAGAAGAACAGCCCCTGCTATCTGAGGAGTCTGAACGAGCTCATGTCATTCCCACAGTCCCTGGCCAGGGACAAGAAGAAGCCCTCGTGGAGGAGAAGCTGCAGGACAGCCCTGGCACCAGTCCCTGGGGACACCAGGTGGGGGTGGCAGTCTCTGGGGACACCAGGCAGGGGGTGGCAGTCTCTGGGGACACCAGGCAGGGGGTGGCAGTCTCTGGGGGACACCAGGCAGGGGGTGGCAGTCTCTGGGGGACACGTTTACCTTTCCTGCCTGCAGAGCGTAGGCCAGATCCGAGTGTGGCGGGTGGAACCTGAAGCCAGCTGCTGCCCACTCACGGCTGAAGAGGGGGGTCGTGCTCCTGAAGAGCAGCTCCTGCAGCCTCTGGAGGAGGAGGAGGCAGCAGGGTCACCCCTCTCATCCCAGCATGAGGCTCTGGAACATGGGGCTCTCACTGCCTGCCTAGCCAGCCCTCACAGCTTCAGAGCAAAGATGATGTTTGGAGTGCAGGGACTGCATTCTACACTCAGCCACCCTGCTGAAGCTTGGTTGTAGCGTGTAATAACTGACATTTGGGTACAGAGCAGATTTTGGGGAAGATTGCTCTGGGGCCTGTCCTGCCATCACCTGCAGAGCTGCTGGACAGCAGCACCTGGCAGCAGTGCTTTTGGGGCCAGGCTGAAATCCCTCACTGATGGTGTTAAAGGCCCTTTCCAAGCCAAGCAATCCCAAGATTCCATCATCCTGCCTCTTGTCCTGAGGCTGTTTTTCAGGGAAGCCCCTAAGAGCAGGGAAACGTTGCCTGTTGTCATTTGACTGGCTCTCCCCTGAGAATTATTGCCTATCAGCTTTAAGGTTCCAGCCCTGTTTGCTAAGAGTCTCCTAAATAATCCATGCCCATTGCACAGCCTGTTCAGCTGGCAGCAGGATGCAGCCGGCAGTCAGAGCACCAGGAAAGGCTCCCCAGCCGTCAGGGGATTCAATTACAGCTCATAATTAATTCAGCAGGCAGCTCACCATGGCCGTGTCCAGGGAGATGGGGCGGCCGCCCACGCCCGGCCGGAGCAGGGGGGGCTGGGGCTGCGACCCTGGGGCCTGCCCAGCTCCGGGTGATCCTTCTGCAGCACTGCTCCGTCCTGGCTGGGGGACAGGAGGGGACAGGAGGGGACAGCAGTGGACAGCAGTGGACAGCAGTGGACAGCACCTCCATCCCCGAGCTCCCCCCGTGCCTGGGCACCACGCCTGGCTGTCGCTGCCAGGGGGTTGGGGTGCCCTGGGACGGGGGTGCCCTTCACTTCTGCAGACATTCCCAACACATCCCTACGAGCTGGTGACTGGAGCAGGTCATAGTGCTGTGTTTGTCCGAATTGCAGGGAATAATACCCTTCAGTGGCTCCCAACCTAAGGGCACAGCAAGTTTTCCAAGTACTTACATTTTGGAGATCTTAGTTTGTTTTCTAAAACTCACTGTGAAAACCATTATTTTTTGAGAGAAAGTTTAATCAAATGTTGGACTGGCCTGTCCCTTTGATTTCAAAATATTTGAAGAGAACGTCTCTTTCTCAAAGAAGCAGCATGAGAAATGAATCTCCAGAGATACCTGGGCTGCAGGTACAGACGTGTGTCCTTGTGCCAACCAAGGACAGCCCAAAACTCACCAGACAAACAGAAAATATTGCCTCTGGAAAAGGAGTTACCTGATGAGTCGTGCTGTTGATTTCCAAACTGAAAACGTAAAATAAAGTACAAATTAGAACACCCAACAGAGATATTGCTAGCACGTGGAGAAACCGGAGCCCAGCCAGAAGGGAACCCCAGAACAAGGGGAGAGTAAGAGCTGTAGCATTTACGTTACTGAGTACACGAGGAACTTTTATCATTGTCACATAAGTTTTGTATTAAAACATAACTTTTAAAATAACATTAAATAGCCACCTGGAATTAAAACTGTGTTAAAGAAGCAGAATGAAAATCTTACCCACGGAAACTAAAGATTTCTCTCCATTTGCTCAGATCAGAGATTCTGCTGGTGATCTCCTCCAGCTCCGTCTGTGCAGGGTGCTCAGCCTGCCCGTCACCCATGGAGCGGCTGCGCTCCCTTCGGCTGCTGCGGTGATGCTCTGGTGATGAGCTGGGAAATGTTCTGGGTGTTGAGCTGGGAAATGTTCTGGGTGTTGAGCTGGGAAATGTTCTGGGTGTTGAGCTGGGAAATGTTCTGGGTGATGAGCTGGGAAATGTTCTGGGTGTTGAGCTGGGAAATGTTCTGGGTGATGCTCTGGGAAATGTTCTGGGTGTTGAGCTGGGAAATGTTCTGGGTGTTGAGCTGGGAAATGTTCTGGGTGTTGAGCTGGGAAATGTTCTGGGTGATGAGCT